GTTAACCCTCATTGGGGCAGAATCACCCTCAAGGTTTCTCCCCTCTTTGGGCCCCCTGACAGCACAATTAGGTGCTCAGAGGGTATGGCCAGGTTCAGGTTGGCCCTCCAGGTGCTGCTGTGATGTGCACAGCCTTGGCCAGCCTCTCATGTTGGTATGTGGAAGGAAAGGCTCTGATGAACATCCAGGTTTCCTACACCCTTAGCCATGTCCTGCCCCACAGCAGGAGATGAGCAGAATCCCCTGGAGCAGAGCTGGCACTGATGGGGCAGCAGGTTCCCAAAATGGAAAATACTTTGGCCAAAACCAAAATAAGGTACAAAATCTTCCCCTCCTTCCCCATCAAAGTGCTGATCACACTCTGGCTAAACTGCTGTGAGTGAAGCACCTGCTGAGAGGGACAGGGAGGAATGGGACTGTCCACAGCCTTGTCCCCAAGGCCTTGTCACAGCCACCCCAGAGCCTTGGATGGTGCTTGAATGTGCCAGGAAAGCCTGGGAGATGCCCCAGTGCAAGGAGAAGGGATTTACCGGGGCAGAGGGGTGCCAAGGAGCAGGGACAGTGGGGGGACAGCAGGGTGGGTGCCTGGGGTGCTGGGGATGAGGAAGAGGAGGCAGGGGATGGGCCAGGAGAGGGGTGCCCCACACTGAACATCCGCAGCTGCAGGTGCCCGGGGAGCAGGGCTGTCCCCCAGCCCCGGAGCCCTCCCGCCCGGCCCTGGTGTCGATCAGCCCTCCATCACACACTGTTTGCTTTCGCTGACAGCTCATTTACTCGCTTTTGTCAAGCACGTTGTAAATAAGTGAGAGAAACAGCCCTGCCCTTCCTGAGCAGAGGCACGGCCAGGAAGGGGCCGGCCGGTCCCCCGGCCGCTCATTCCCAGCACCGGAGCCAGCGCTGCCGGGACGGGCCGGGGCATCCACGCCTGCTCCCAGCCAGGCTCGGGAAAGCGCTGAGCATCCACCACCTCCCTCGGGAAACAAGGGGAGCACCCGTCCTGGACTCCCAAAGTCCACGCCACCGAGTGTCCGTAATTATTTAGCTTAAGGATAATCTGCATCTTTCAGATACAGCCAGCCATCATCTCCGAGGTAATCTCAGGTCACGGAGCCAGAAGGGAAGAGTAATCAGCCGTTCTGAGTGTGGAAGACACAAAGAAACAAGCAGTGAGAATCAGACGGTGGCAGCAGGTCCCTTACACTCGGGGGGCTTTGCTGTGGAGCTTTTCCCCCCGCAGCCAAACCAGCTGGAGCAGCTCCAGCCCCTGCGCCTTGCCCTGCCCCTGCTCTGCAGTTTGCCTCTCTTCAGTCGGGCTGGATTTCCCCGAGCTGCTGCAGCAACGTGAGGCTGGCCCTGCCCTGATGGTCAGCACCCGAGCCGGGTTAACTCAGTTAAAGCACAGAGCTGCTCTTCTGTAATCACATTGCCATGGCTGCGGTTCCTGGCAGCCCCAGCCAACCTCCAGGCTCCACACAGCCCCGCTGGAAGGTTTGCTCCAGGCTGGCTCACCCTGGGCATGTGTTTTACAGGGACATGCTCAGCAGGGTCACAGGGCAGGGAGCAGCATCCCGGAGCAGACCTGGACACAAGGACGAGAGAGGGAAGGCTCTGCAGGTGGAGAAAGTACCCACAGGGTAATTCCTGGGAGCTGGCTGGGTGGGTTTGCAGCTCAGGGATGTTCAGCCAGCTCTTACAGTGGCAGCAGGGCCCCATTTGCACACATCTGCTGGACACTGGGGACAGAGACCTGGACCACAATAACAGCCACACTGTCCCTGGAGCTCCTCCTGAACTGACTCTGGCAGGGAAAGCCCACTGGGAGCCGGGCTGGACCCTCATGGCTGCATCCCTCATGGATGTCTCTTCCTCCACCTCCAGAAGGAGTTGCTGTACTTGCTCAAGCCCCCCAGAAACCAAAAGCTTTGCTCCAAAACCAGCTCTGAAAGCAGCAGTGCCAACGTGGCCCCTGCAGGGCTCAGACCCAGCCTGACACCATCCTGCCAGGGGACACTGCCAGGGGCACTGCCAGGGGCAGCGACAGCTCTGCAGAGCCTGGCCCTGAGCCACAGGGACCTTCGTGCCCTGAGTGCTGCCCTACCCAGGCAGGGCTCAGGGGGGCCTTGAAAAACAGGAGGAACCACCCCAAAGCCCCAAATCTGTCTGATCTCTGCACAGCTTGGAGGTTGCCACTGGTGGCAGCCACGGAGGCTCCCGGGGAGCTGCTCTGTGCTCGGACAGTGTCCCTTTTCCTGGCTCCAGCACGCAGCTGGCACGTGGCACAGCTCTGCTGGCACTGAGGCTGTGCTGGCCCTTCCTTCCCACCCCACAGCAAAGCCCACATCCCCTTGGCCAGACTGTGGCCACAGCAAAATGAGCTGCCTCTTCCTGAGCCGGGGCAGTTTTGAAGGCTTTGCAAATCAGATTCCTGGCCAGGCTGATATTTCCAGCTTAATTTGCCCATTCACAGAGCACAGACACTGGGTTTTTCCCTAAATAGCCCTAGTATCAAATGACTGGTAAGCCAAGCTAATGGATCAGTTCTCCCTTGCAAGAAGCAGCTGATTTTCCCAGCTCCTGCCTCCCACTGCTCTGGCATCCCCAGAGAGGTCTGTCCTGACAAACCAGCCTGGACACAGCCCCAGCTGCAGCTCTCCCAGGTCAGGCTCCTGCCCAGCCCTGTGTGCCCACCCTGCCCCAAGCAGCCCCTCCTGTCCCCTCGGGAGCTCCTTCCCCATGCTGCTCCTTCTTGCATTTCACACCAGGTTTGCTTTTAAATTGCATCCTGGGCACTTCACACTTTGCTGGGATGGCAATGGTGCTGTAAACTCAATTTAGTAGTTGCTGTCACGCTCCTTTTCTCCCTCCTGGCCCCACACCCCACCAGTGGGATTTCCATCAGCTTTAGCAAGCCAAGATAAATCCCCTTTGTCACGATTTTGGGGGGCCCATGATGGCTCTCCACAGGACCCAAAGAACACCCTCTTGTCTACTGAGGCACAGAAAAGCCTTTGAAAGAGATGTGATGTCTTCTGGAGTATTTTCACCTGTCCAGTGGCCAGGCTCCTTCCACAAATCAGGGAGCAGATGCTCCAGGGCTTTGCTCTGAGCACAGCCCCATCCCCTGTAGGAATGTGTTTTTTGTTGATGGAGTAAATAAGTTACGTTTTGTCTTTTTAAAAAGGAAGAAAGCTTAAACGTTTTTTTCTTTAATTTGGTTAAAAGACATTTTATAAGACTTTAGGGACTTTAAACTTAAGGATAGCTAATTGGACAAGAGTTAAAACATCTTGCTTAAGTAATTTTTTTAGAAAAAGAAGAGAATAAAAGAAGTTAAGTTTTTGTGAAGTGGTTTAGTAAGAGTAAGAACTTCTTACTCTAACTAGGCTTTTCTCTATAAAGAACTTTTTTATTTTTGCCTTTTAGTAAAACTTTTTGTTTCCAACACTGTCACAAGAGCCATCCTACTTATTTTATGCCACCTAAGGTAGCTGAGCTATCAAGGGTATAATGCTTATCTCTAAGAGCTTATAAAACCAAGCTTGAAAAGAAAAAAAGCATTAACACCCTGCCATGAACAGTCTGGGCTGGGGACAGGGCAGAGCTCCTGTCATGATGGAGCTCCACCAAGATGCCCCTTTGTAGGACCTGTTTGAGAGACTCAGATTGGAAGTGTCCCTGCACAGCTTCACCCTGGATGATCCCCAGCCCGTGCCGGGATCACACCCAGCCCAGCACAGAGCCACGCCAAGGATCAGTGGATTCAGCAGGGCCCCGTGCCCGGGCACAGAGCTGTGCCACAGGATGCCCACGGGGCAGCAGGAGCCGTGGCCCAGCACTGTCACCTGCATGAATCAGCTGCTGGGGCCGCTGGCAGGGTGGGAGCTTTGGTTGGTAACGTGGTTCTCAGGCTTTATGTGCTGCTGTTGCTATTTTGGTCCTCCTGAAACGTGCAGGAGAAGGAATCCGGAGGCTCTGTCTCCTGCAGAGATGTTTGTGCTGACCCAGTTTGGGAGGCTGCAGAGCCGCAGCCGCATCTCCCTGCACGGGGCTGTGGGACCACCTTGGGGCCACCTGCCCTGGGCCACCCTGCCAGGCACCCACAGGGGCACAGGGACGTGGGGCAGGAGCTGCTCCACCACCCTGCACCGGCCAAGGGAGAGATCTGGGGGTTTTACCCCCGAAATCCCCATCTGCAGCACTTAAAGCTCTTCAAACACCCAGCACAGGGCTTCTCTTCTCCCAGAGCAGTGTCACTCTCCAGCAATCCCAACCCAAGCCCCAGCACACAACGTGACCCTGCAGACACTGCCACTGCCCCAGACAGCTCCGTGGGGCAGCCCCAGCCCCAGAGGAGGTGGATGAGGGTGTTCACTACACCACAGAGGGCAGGCAGAGCCTCAGAGCCCTGCACACACATTTCCCTGCCAGAGCTGCTGAGACAGCGCTCCCGGGCCAGGATGGAGCTCTTCAGTGTGGGAAAAGTGCTGGGGCTGCCTGAAAAACAGCACTGCCAAACGACCCCTCTGTGCTTTTAGGACATCTGTGGGGTCAGGATCAAACACCTGAGCCCACCCAAGTGCACAGAAGGGGCAAATCTCTGCCCCACTACTCCCATGACCTCGGCCTTTTCATCAGCACCCAGAGATCACAGCTTGAACCTCTCCCTGTTCTCTCCATCCTGCTGCAGAGGTGAGCTCTCAGAGCAGGCTGGCCACGGGGTTGTGGAGCCTCAGCTGCCCAAATATCCAAACACAGATGCTGGGAGGTGTCAGCCCAGCCTGCCTCAGCTCCAGCCAGCAGATGCAAACACAGCCACTGCTCCCAGGCAGGGCAGGAAGCTGCAGACACAGCAGTGCCTGAATACAAACTCACTGCTCACCTGGCAAACAAACAGCCTCCTGCACAGCCCTGCTGGCAGGAGCATCACTGAGCAAAGCCCCCCCCAGGCAGAGCCTGCCGTGCTCCAGGCAGGAATGTGCAGCTCCGCGTGGCTCTCTTACCTTGCTCTCCGGAGGAGCTGCTGCTGGATGTTGCTGCTTGGTGATGTTCTCAGCCAGACACCAGCAGATCCTCTTCTTCTGCTCCTGGGAGTAAGCCTCCAAACTTAATAAGCACTCCGACTTCTGACGTAAAGGAAACACAGGCAGGGAGAAGGTCATTAGCTGTGCGTCGCAGGCCCTGCCTGGGTTTGCAAACTCCTTGGTCCCCACACACCACAGCAGATGAGGGGAGAGCTCTCACCCCTGTGCTGCACCCTGGGCACGGGAGAGTCAAAGGGACTGGAAACCAGCTCCCTTCAGAGGCAGGGAGAGTGGTGCAGGGGGGCTGACTGTGCTTCCACGAGCAGGAGTGGAGCAGCACGGGCACCTTGTGCCACTGCAGTGGAAACCGAGGGTGGAAATTGCTCTTTGCCATATGCAAACATGAATGAGGCACCAGAGCATGAACTGGTGAGAACGAGAGCCTTTGGGCTGGGTGGGGCTGGGAGGAAGAGCTCAGGGAAACTCCAGAGCAGCCTCCCTGTCCTGTTCCTCACTGAACACCAGGATGAATTTGGGGATAAACTCCAGAGCAGCCTCCCCATCCTGCTCCTCACTTAACACCAGGATGGATCTGGGGATAAACTCCAGCTCCGGTCACACACGGTCTGTTAGCAACATGCAGCAAGGAAACAATTAAGAGAAATTATGGGAAGTCATCCCAGCTGAGCCTGCCTCCTCTTGTGCCCTTCCCTGCACACATCTTTTGTTCCTCTTGGACATGTTTTCTTTCAAAATCAGTGAAGTTTCTTTCAAACAGGTTTCTTTCAAAACCTGTCCAGATCTCTACTCACTTAAGGAACTTTCTGACCAAGTTCTCTCAGCAGCTGTCTCCCAGCCCTGCAACTGCTTATCTCTCATGCTAAAAATTAAGCATTATAACATCTGCTGCCTGTTGGGAATTTGCACGTTTCACTTTATAAAGGGTCCAGAAATGCCCAAGGTTGGATCATCTCCTTAAGTGACCAGAGGGGAAGAGGAAAAAAAAAATAAAAGCACAACTTTAGGACAGACTGCAAAGAAAGGAAAAAAGAGTCGTTCACTAAGGTTCATAAAAAAAACTTTTCTTTCCCCCTAGAATTTCCTTCCAGAAGGGCAGGTCCCCAGTAGCTGCTTTTTCCCAGAAAGGTCAGAGAGAACCTGCAGCTTTGTGACTCCAGAGACATAACACAGCCAGAAGGGGAAATGCTCTTTAGTCACACCATTTAAATCACTGTTTGCATTGGATGGGAATTCATTCATGTTTCATCCAAAATCCCCTAAAGTGGTAAATAAACCAAGCTCCCACATCACCTCCTGGGAAAGAGGGTTCTGGTTCAGTCCTTTGCCCCTTCCAGGAGACTTCCATGAAGGAGAAAGTTTGAGCTTTCTTATGCCTGGACATCCCCACACTTATTCCTGCAGGCATTAACACTGAAAATCCCTTCTCAGGCTTCCTGAGCACCATCAGAATGAGCAGAGGTTTGGGATTCATGGACAGGAAGTGGTGGGGCTCCCCCTTGCCCCCAGATCCTGGGTGGCAGTGATGCTCAGAGCATCCCTGGGGTATCATAGTGAGTTTTTCCCATCCTGGATGTTCCAATCTCTCCCAGTCCCACACCTGCAGGTCACCAGGCTGCACCTCTGTGATACCCTCTCATCCCTAGGAAGTCATTCCCACTTTCAGAGGGGAGGATGAGCACCCATTTGCTGGGATGGAATCCAGGCTGGCATTTCCCTGCCCCACCCTTGTGGTCAGAAGAAACCAAAGCAAGAACTCAGCAGAGCCCCAGAGCCATGGGGCAGTGCGAGGAGCTGTGATGCTGTGACTCGTGCACAGCCCCTGCCCTGTGATTCCCCTGGAGCGAGGCTCAAAGCAGTTCCAAGGACATCTCGTGTCTCCTCTGCTGTGACAGACACAGAGCTCACCTAGCCCTGCCCTGAGCCCCTCCCTGATTCAATTAGAGCCCATCTCTTTGATTGGATTTAGCACACAGGATGCTCAGCTCCCGAGAGCAAAGTGCCCCTCTGCTCCCTCTGCTCCCCCTCAGCTGCTGCAGGCTCCCTGACCTCGGCCACCCCGGAATGTCACAGCCAGGAGAGCAGATTCCCCTCTGCTCCCGAGCTCAGGGAAAGGCAACCACCCCAAGGTGTGTCCAAGGTATTGTGGGCAAGGCTGAGGGGGGACATGAACAGCCAAAATTGCATTTATCCAACGTGTACATTTTTTATTACCACCACATCAGCATTTAACCTCTCCAATGTACATTTCCCAAGGAAAGAGCTCTGGTTTTCCATTAACCTGCTCTCCCAAAAACTTTCCACTGGACTGGGGAAAGCCCACCCTGCAGGGGCTGAGCACTGGCAGCTGCCTCCAAAGCCAGGCAAAATCCTTTGGGATGCAGCCAGATGAAGGGCTGGGTGTTATTTGGGATAAAACTCGTGGCACGTGTCCCTGGAGCCTGGTCCATGCTGGGCACCGAGCTGCCCACCCAGGGGAGGCTGGGGAGGGGGCACAGGGAGCTGCACACGCTGCCCTGTGAGCTGGGAACAGCCTCCCCGTGATTGTTTTCCTTCAGGGAGGCTGCTGCTGGGCCTGCCAATATTTACAGAGAGAAAACAGGGTTTAATCTCCCAGTGCTGGGAAAGGAGGATGCAGATGGCGTGAAGGGGGCATTTGCCACCAGATAAAGGCAGCGACTGAAGTGGCTGCCAGTGGTTTTCTGCCTGCCTTCCCCCAGTGACAAACATGTTATTGCAGGTGCTGTGTGCTGGGCTCAGGACAGCTCCAGGGCAGTGCCAGCACCAGGCCCCCCACACTGCCCGAGGAGAACACAGCAGGTATGGCAGAGAATGGCCCAAGGCAGCCAACACCAGCCCCAAACAGGCCCTGCTACAGCCAAGCATGATCTGCAGGAAAAGTTCCTCCTGCTCCATGGGAGCAGCTCCCCCAGGCTGAGACCCAGCCCCATGGCAGCCAGGTGAGAGGTCTGGCCATGCAGAGCTCCTGCCTACCCCAGCAGACACCACACAAGGAGGGGCTGTGGACTCTGGAGCCCATAAATCATGAGAGGAGCCCCCTGAGAATGGCAGCATCACAGGAGGAGCCCCCAGACCCCACACACCGAGCCCCTGACTGCAGACACCCCTCTGTGCAGGACCCCGGGGCTCTGTGACACTGCAAAGCTGAGAAACCACAGGAACAAGGAGCCAGACTCAGTCTGACACCTCTGGTGCCCTGAGCTCAGTGCCCAGCAGAGCCCAGGGCTGTTCTCTCACCACTGTCTCTCCTGGCTGTGTGAGGAACACATTCCCAGGGTGGGAGGGAGGGGTGCCACAGAATCCCATGGTTGGAGGAATGGTTGGAGGTGCAAGGGACCCTAAAGCCCATCCAGTGCCACCCCTGCCATGGCAGGGACACCTTCCACTGTCCCAGGCTGCTCCATGCCCCATCCAGCCTGGCCTTGTGTGGGAATCCAGGGCTTCCCTCTGGCTGCCCTGGCAGGTCTGGGACCCTGGCAGGGGTCAGGAACCCCCCTGGACAGAGCCCCCAGAGACACTGGCTGTGATCTCTG